TTTTTTTTTTTTTTTTTTTATTTAAATGTTTATTTATTTATTTGAGAGAGATCCAGGGAGGGGCAGGAAGAGAGAATCCCAAGTAGGCTCTGCACCGTCAGCACAGAGCCCAATGAGGGACTCAATCTCACAAACTGTGAGATCATGACCTGAGCCAAAATCAAGAGTCAGACACTCAACCACTTAGCCTGCAGTGCCCCACAAATGAAGAGCTTTTTAAACGTGATAAAAAGACTATCTACCACAAACCTACAACACAGAGGTACATATATTACTAAATCCAGATTGGGAAACTACATGAAATTTTTCCTTAAAAGGACCTAATGTCCTTTCAAGAAATTGTCAATGACTTCCAGAATCATGCATTTTTAATCAAGAACATAATACTTCTGTTAAACACAGACTAGCATGATTACCTGTTTTAGTGCCTTCTTGCTGTGCTTCTGTGATGGAGAAATGACTTTACCTGCTGGAATGGTAGGTGATGGGCAGCCTGACTGGGGAGAGGATGGTTGTGACAGTCTAGACGATACTAGTTGGGGGGAAATGACAATAAAAAAGGTGGTTATCAGAGATGCTATCAAGCACCATTCCTTCCCCAATCATATGCTGCTACCTGTATTAAGAACTGTGACCAAACACTTTTGGGAAGGATCTTCTTTTTGGAGTTCTACTGCAACAGCCTCCCTTTTCAGTTTATTTCCTCAGAAAGCTCTAGTGAAGGATGATAGGACGGGGAAGGGATGGGTGTTAGTATTCACTACTTTTCATTTTTTTATTTTTCAATAGATTGAAGCAGGAAGAATATAAACCATGAGTCATCAAATTAGATAAAACTGAGAAAAGATTCTAGAGCCTGTTGTACAGTATGTGTGTCTTAAGGTAAATCTGATGACAACATGATACAGTGGAAGGGCCCTGGGCTGACAGAAAGGGTCCAGTTTTCCCTATTTTAAAATGAAGGCAATAAGGCCATTCCACCTCAAAAACTCTAGAACAGCTTTAATTCTTATATTCCTTCATCTCTTAAATCAATAGTTTCAGGCCCACCAGTCAGTGTGAGAGGGTTGTAGGATACCTCTAATGGTAGCAATGGACGTTTGCACAGGGTATAACCCCTCTCTACTCATCACTACTTGTTTTATACCCCATCAGAGCTGAGCCAAACATCAGTCTTATGTGAATGAGGGTTTCCCCTTCAAGAGCCTGTCCTCTCCTAATAAATAGCAATTACAGTTTTAGGTTCCGTAAAGTTCAGCAGTGCATGCAGCTCACGGTGAGAGATAACGAAATTGCTGATTCAGACCCTTTAATAATAAAATAATAATTGCTGCTGCTGGTGATGACTCTGGAATAGTGTTGACAGAGTGCGTGCTTACTGACACCTTCTCCTTTCCATGGCAGCTGGACTATAAAGGCCTGGATAGCAAAATGGCATCCCATTTAGCTATGGCTAAAGAGCTTTAAGATACCATATAAAGTATGTTGGTAGGTAGCTACCTGATATAAAAGTGCAGAAGCATGACTCATTGGAATACACAAGGTTTGGAAAATAGCATTTCCATGGATTCTTAGATGTCCTAACAAAGGAATACACAATAGATAACATTTCAAGAGGACAAGAGCAGATAATACTAAGAAGGTTGACTTGTCAGACTTGGTATTGGCTTTGCATTCCACCCTTATGACAGGGTTTATATATGGGAAAGAACTGACATACAGTAAGTGTGATGCTTAAAAAAGCTCACTGTAATCTATCATACAAGAATAAAATTGGGTAGTTCTTGAGATAACTGAGCAGCAAAAAGAAACCACATCCTCAGTCTACTTATGTGGACCAATTTTAAAAAATAACAGCTTTACTGAGATAAAGCCCCATACTGGTTAGCTGTCACCCCTGTTTCCCCTAACTATGCCTCTAATCCCAGGAGGTCAGTAATCTACTTTCTGTCCCTATGCACTTGCCTATTCTAGACATTCCATATAAATGGAATCAAACAATATGTGCTCTTTCATGACTGTTTTTTTCACTTAGCATGTTTTGAAGTTTCATCCATGTCAGAGCATGGATCAATACTTCCCTTTTATCACCAAATAATATGCCATTGTACACACACACTGCATTTTGTTTATTCATTAGCTGATGATCACTTGGGTCATTTACGTCTTTGGCCATTCTGAACGATGATGTGAAGAACACTCATCAGCACAATTTCATGTTGGACAGATGTTTTCAATTCTCCTGGGTTCATATCTTAAAGTGGAGTTGCTGGGTCTTACAGCAAGTCTATGGTTAACTTTTGAGGAACTGTCAACATGTTTTCCAAAACGGCTATACCATTTTTATAATTCCACAGGAATGTATGAGGGTTCTAATGCTTGTCAACACTTGTTATTGCCTATCTTTTTCATTTGAACCGATGTTTTTAAAGGGACATAATGAAAATAAAGTTAAACACTATTAATATTTGACTATGCTCACTTTCTCGTCAATGGTTTGCAGAAATCTGAAAATACGCATTTCCTTACCTACCTCAAATACTGCCTAAAAATAAACAGAAAACAAAATAATTCCCTTAGAGAATATAAGAATTCCACTTAGCAGCCTGAAAAAGGAACAATAAAAGCTATCCGTATTACCACGGCAAACTGTTTGGACTGTTCCCCCTTAAGGCAAAAGCCCTTTCTAACAAATGAAACCATAAACACGTCTCAAAGCCAGCCAAAATAAATCACAAAAACTTCAGGACCCACCAAGTAAGGAGTATCTCCCAGATTTGACTTATGCCAAGTACTGGTCTCATAACGTCTATGAAACTGTCCTAACTTATATATATTTAAGGCTCAGAACTACAAACAACAAACAAGATTTAAACACATGCTGAGAAACTTCCCTCTCAGATTGCATTTTAGTGGCTACACTGTCTTCACACACAAGTTTATTAATAAGAACCAAAAGTAAGTATCTTGTGTGTATCTAATAGTGTGTTAGGTTCATGTGAACAGGATTTCACTGAACTACCCTTTAAGGTGGGTCCAAGTCCGCTTTCTATTCCCACCCAAACTCCTCCAATTCTCCCCTCAGAGATAACTAAGTAGTGTATTTGGGTTGGCATCCTTGCTGACCTTTTTCTACACAAAGAAAAAATATGAAAAGATTTTTAAGGACATATATTTATGCAAAAATTTAAATATACACATTCTTCTGTATATTGTGAGATTAGCTAAATTTTACATATCAGGAAATGTAATGAGTTTGCCAAAACACTCAGACAGTAAGGGGCATAGCTAAGATCCAAACTGAGCATCGTTTCATTTTTTAATTTTTATTTTTATTTTGAGAGAGAGAAGAAAGTGTGTGTGTGCACAAGCTGGGGAGGGGCAGAGAGAGAGAATCCCAGTGTGTCAGCACAGAGTCCAGTGTGGGGCTCGAACCCACAAACCGTGAGACCATGACATGAGCTGAAACCAAGGGACGCTTCACAGACGGAGCCACCTAGGCGCCCTGCAAACTAGTATTGTTTTCAGAATGAGTGGGTATTTGTTGTGAGCTGAATGGTGGCCACCAAAAAGCTATGTCCTAATCCCCAGAATCTGTGAATGTCACATTATTTGGAAAAAGAGTCTTGGCAGATGGAATTAAGTTAAGGATCTTGAGATGAGATCATCCTGGATTATCTCAGTGTCCTAAATCCAATGACACAGAGGACAGACAGAAAAGAAGGCGATGTGAAGACAGGCAGAGATTGGAGTGATGTGGCCACAAGGCAAGTAAGTCAGCAACCAGTAGAAGCTAAAAAAATACAAAAAACAGAGTTCTCCCCTAGAGCCTCTGTGGGGAGTGCGGCCCTGCTGATACCTGATTTCAGACTTCCGTTCTCCAGAACTGTGAGAAAATAAATGTTTCAAGGCACCTAGTTTGCGCTAATTTGTTATAGCAATCTCAGAAAAGTAACAGTATGTAAAATGATTTTAAAGTGTCATTGTCAATCCATAGATGTTTATATATTTGAGATGTTTAAATCAAAAACAATCATTGCAAATTTGGCACTCAGATTGTCCCCTTTTGAGTTAGTGTGAGAGCCTGTAAGTTGTAAACCATCTTTAGGACATGGCCTCAGCAGTAACCAACTGCTTCTCCTTGGTATCTAACAAGAAAGAGTCCGAGGCAACCTTGCATTTTTTTTTCCCCCAACTTGCATCAGCCACTTCTCCAAGGACCACTGATATCTTTCAAATAGGAAATGGTATTAAAAGACCATGTGCTGCACCGAAGGGGGTAATCACTTGCTACAGGGTTACCACTGGTTCTAGGACTTTAATGGTTAGAACAAGAAAGGTCTTTTTTTTTTTTTAATTTTTTTAATGTTTGTTTATTTTTGATAGAGACAGAGTACAAGTGGAGGAGGGGCAGAGAGAGAGGGAGACAGAGAATCTGAAGCAGGCCCCAGGCTCTGAGCTGGCAGCACAAAGCCCACAGGGCTTAAACTCAGGAGCCATGAGATCATGACCTGAGCCGAAGTTGGTCACTTAACCAACTGAGCCACCCAAGCGCCCCGAAAGTCTTTTTTTTTTAGAAGGAGAAAAATTCATGCACAGATAACAAATTTTAATTTTATATTACAGGACTGTCACTTAACTTTTCTGATTTTATAGTTCTATCACTTCCCTTCTTCCCTGATAACCCTGGTTCCTAATAACATTACTGTTATTATTAATGTTTTTCTAATATACATCTAGTTGCAAAGAAACTGTACCAATATAATTACTGAAAACAAGACTACTCAAATATAGTTTAAGATGTCTTTGTGTCTGGACTCCTACACCTAAGATAGATCCCAAACAACTTACCTATGTCATTATGCCAGAAATTTGACATATACTTCAGTTTGCTTTGTTTCATATTTCTAGAAAGTACACTTTAAAAACTTGTTTTAATTATGTAAAGCAATAAAACAAGTTACTTCCATATAAGCCTAGCTCCCTCCCCTATCTACACTACTTTATTACTTCTCTTCCCTTTTAGGAAATGGTTTGTATTAACTATCCTTCCATTTTTGTTTGCTTGTATTTTTGTTTTGGCGAAAACATAGTGTATATATTTTAATACTTTCACTCTTTTTTTTTTTTTTAAGCAAAAACAAATCTGCACTGTAAGCTGTTCAAAATCTTGATTTTTTTTTTTTTAACTTAACTAATATATCCTGTGGAACATTCTAGAAGAGAATACAGAGATCTTCCACATTCCTTTTTTAATAGCTACACCGAATTCCACTGTACAGATGTACCATAATTTCTTCAACCAGACTTTGCTGAGTATGTCCATTCTTTGTCTTTTGCTCTTATTACTACAATGTCTTAATCAGTGGTTCTTTAAGGTATTGTACCAAGAAAAACACCATCAGTAGCAAAAAATCTGTTGTAAATGCCAATTACTAGATCCCAGTCTAGATCTACTGAATCAGAAACTTGGAAGGTAGGGCCCAGGAATCTGTGTCATAATAAAATCTATGTGATTGAGAAGCATTAGTC